CATCACCAAGAATTCAAAGCAATTGAAAATCAATCGCTGCTAATAATTTATAATTTCTTCACACTCTAACACATTTAATCATTATTCCACCTTTGTGTAGGCTACACACACACACACACACACACACACACTTATTTTGTAGTATTTTTTTCCTTAAAAAGTCAACTTGGAAAGTAATAACAAAGTGTCATGTAGTAATTTGAAAGAACTAATACCAGCTTAAGAACTATGTCCGTTTTTGCAGAATAGTGGAAAGAATTGGAGTTGGATGCAGTGAATTGGGGTTCAAGTTCTATGCCTATCCTCTATTAGCTGTGTGGATTCGTGATCTGTTAATTCTTAGGAATATCAATCTTATCTCCAACCTGAAAGTAATAATAGCAAACTTACTACACACTTAGTATGTGATAAAAACCATTCTAGAATTCATATGAACCACTTAAAGACCCTATGAAGTAGGCAATATTTTTATTATTATCCCCACTTTATAGATTGGGCTTGGGGAGGTTAATAACTTGCCCAAGGCAACTTGTCAAGTAAGTGATGGAGGCAGCAGCTTTCAGAACTCAACTCTTAACCACTCTCCAACCCGGGCCTTCATAATACTCCCTCACAGGACTGTCATAAGGATAAAATTAAACAATATGTGGTCAGTGTAATATTTATTTTATTTATTCAGATTTGACCATGCATAAAGAGGAATGGTACCAACATTTTGATGCCAATGAAAAATAGAAAAACTATGCCAATAGCTCTTGAACTCCAGTGTGCACTGATTCACTTCGATATTTGTTTAAAATCAAATACCCTAGACTGCATGCTTTCTAAATTCATTACAGGCTGGGCAGAAGCCAAAAATATGCCTTCATAACAAGCTCTGCAAGAGATTTCGATGCAAATAGCTTACAGAAATCATGGCCTATGTTTAAAGCTATATAAGTGTTATGGGCTGAATTGTGTTCCTCTAAAATTCATATGTTGAAGCTCTAACCCCCAATACTTCAGAATGTGACTGTATTTGGAGATAAAGCCTCTAAAGTGGTAATAAAGTTAAAAAGATTGTTAGGGGAAACCCAGTCCAATATGACTGGGGTCCTCATAAGAAGAGATCAGGACACAGACAACACAGACAGAGGGACACCACGTGTGGACGTAGTGAGAAAGTGGCCACCTGCAAGCGAATCAGAGAAGCCTCAGAAGAAACTTGCTGACACCTTGATCTGGGACTTTTAGACCTCAGAATTGTAAGAAAATAATTTTCTGTTATTTAGACCATTCAGTCTGTAGTATTTTGCTATGGAAGCCCTAGTAGGTTAGTACAATAAACAACATTTTGAAATGGAAATAATAGCTGATATGATGATTTGGTAATTACAGCTTCTAAAATGCTTTTTATTAAAGACAAAGGAGTTAACCATATTAAAAGTGCTGATTTTTTCCTCTCATGAATAAGTAGGTGAAACTAACTAACAAGAGGGCATATACCGCTAAGATATTCCTCCTATGGGTGAAGTTCCCTACCACTAGTCTACTTCCCTGGGCTCCTTAACTTACCCAAAAGCAAGGAGAATAGGCCGTATTTTTAGTATATGTATATTTTCCTACTAAAATATTCATTTCTTTCATTCATATTTACTTGTCTATCTATCTATCTATCTATCTATCTATCTATCTATCTATCTATCTATTCATGCATAGATCCAACTATTAATCTATTCATTAACTCATTCATTCATTCACCTATCTAGCAATCCATTTAATCAATATTTATTGAACCTGTACCATGTACTAGATGCCATTTTAGTTGCTAAAAAACTACTTCTTATTGATGGGAAGATAAAAGCCCCCAAAAGTTCTAAATGAAAACCAGAAAATTTCATTTAAACAAACTCAAATGTCCTTAGGATGCATTCAGGTAAGGACATATGAAATGGTCAAGTGAATTAGTATCTGAAAAGAGAAGCCACAATTCAGCTCTAGAGAGTTCTAGGAATTTGATGGCCCAGTTTTGCCAAATTTTCCAATATTTTAAGAGAATCCATACATCTGTTTTTTTATGTAAATTTTCCATTTTTTAATGCTGGTGAAACAAACTGAACTCTTCACAAACACTACGTGAGCCAAATAAGACAGCTATTATGTAGACACCTACACATCCCTAGGGGCTATCAGTTCTCAGCTTCTGCTCAAAACTGAGGACACAGTGTTGCAAAAGTGCGGGGTTCTCCAATATCAGCTCTCTTCATATCTGATTTCTGATGAAATCACAACTAAGTAATTTGGCTTTCAACTTATTATGGTTGTTGCACAGATGTTTTAGTGGCTGAAGAAACCTGAGACCTTCCCAATGTCTTCTCCGTGGTCATGAAAGCATGACATACATTCAGGAGGCAGGGCAAGGTCTTCACCCAGGAAAGAAGCGGCAAAGGTCTGACACCACCTTCATCATGACCTTCTCTCACCTCTGCACAGCCTTGCAAGGGCACCATGTATTGTTTGTCGTCTTTATATGCTCACCAATCACTACCTGATGTTGGTCACTGCAGTATCCATGCTCAATAAACATTTGCTGAACTGAATATGAATGCACACATTTTGCTGTTCCGATTTAAAAGCTGGAGTGAAAATTGGTTGTTGCTGAAATAGTTTTCATTTAGTTAAAATTTTGATCTTTAAGGTCATGGCTACATGACACCAAAATAACTAGTTCTTTTAGAAAATTATTAGGAAAAACAATCAGACAAATCACACTTGGGATGATACAGAGATAATCCAAGTAACTGCTGCCTTTCTAGCCAGGTCATGCCTTGCTCTCACTCTGATTTATTGCAGCCCAACAAGACAGGCAAATTGGTATAAAGATAGCACATCACACTTTGAATGACTTTTCTCTTTGAAGTTATATCTCAGAGTTTGTATTATATACCACTAGTTGGTCCTGTTTTATTACACTAAAGTATAATTTGTAGATCTCATCTCTGTAGTTTAGCAATTAATATAGAGGAGTACTGGTCCTTTCTCTTAAATAAATGAAAAATTCACACATATCCTTAAAATATAGATGGCACTATTAACAAAAAATAAACAACCAACCAAAAAATATCCTCCTTGAAACCTGATTTTAAATCTTAAGTTTCAAAAAAATGTTTACTTAAATATAATTATTTGTTAAGTGTGGAGAATCCTAAGAAGAGTTATACCATCATACAAATAAGTGTGAAAAATTATCATTATACAAACATCACCTGCAAGTTTCATTCTTCATATTCATCATGGAGCACATAAAATTTGTGGTGTGAAGTGTACCTGTGGTACTGTAAAAGTAACTCCTTAGGAAAAATGATGAGAACCTGAATGCTAACACATTGGATGCTGATGAAGTCTTTTTTTTAAAACTCGACACAGTTAATAAGATTGAAATATTTATTACATTTCACAAATGTCTCTGGACTTGAAACACCTACATGTATAATTAAATTGAAAGGGCATTCTAACTAGTAACCTCCACACTATGTCCTTTTCCATCAACGTTTATTTCCAAAAAGTAAAACCTATGGGTCAAGTGACTGTATTCTGGCTTATGAATGTCTTCATCCTTTCTCCCATAAGCTTCTGAAGGCTCACCTATTTTTTAAAATCATCTGGTCCACTCAACACAGATCTTATCAAATGTAATGCATACATCTGGAAGTTCTGTCATAAATTTCACAGCATTACCAATCTGAATGTTCACAAAACTATCCTCACATACCAAGAAACCAACAACTTTATGACTAAAACCCAAGTTGCTTAAACTTCTATAAAATATTCTAATTACATGGTTGATTCCATTCTTTGATTCTATATGAAAATACAACTAAGTGTTTAACAAGTGGTATTTCTTTCCAATTTAAGTTTTTGCAAATCTCAGAAATTATTTAAAAGTTCCATGTGAAGTACGTCAAGTGATGTAACTGGGCATTCTTAACTTTTCTTCGAAACATAAGAGAATTAATATTCGCTTGACTAATTTCATGAGCCCATTTCCTGATCCTGAGAACGGAAAGTTCTCACACCTCATTAAAGAACTCTAGCTGAAGAAGTGATCTTTGTTCAGGCTGCATGTGAAAGAATAGTAAGGAAAAGACAACACATTCCTAAATTTAACTTCTGGAATTTTTCAGTTAAATTTGACTTTCTAGATAAAAGTAAGTCTTCACTATTGCAATAAATAAAGATAATGTTAAAAGGAAGATGAATGAAGTCATAAGACATCAAAGTCGTTAGAGAAGTTAGAACACATCTGGGGGTGGCATGGGGATTAATGAGGTAAGGTGCATGCGAGTCCCTACCTAAGTGGCTGGCACTCCGTAAGAACTTGGAGCTAAATGACCAAGTCTACCACTCTTATTATTCAGATAAGCAAACGGAGGCAGGAAAGACAAACTTAGCATGCATATATGCATGGAAGAATTTACCAAAAGTGTAAAGAAAATAACTGACTTCCAGTGCAGAGTAACCAAAGGACGTTCTCTGATACTACACAGTTTTAGTTACGTAATACAAAATTATTTTCATACACTTGTTTCAAAGGACTTGTCTAATATTCTCTTATGAATGGCTCTATTCTACTCCTGAAGATTTTATATCCTGGTTCCAAAAATAAAACTAAGTTGAGGAAAGGCATATCCCTAATCATTGCACTTCCATTATTTATTCTAAAAACATTTACTTATAATTATTCCAGGGCTTGACAATTTAATGGATTGGAAGCTCAAACCACATCACTTTAACAGACTCCCTCCACAGTGTCTCTTTGCTGTATCCTAGAAGCGAAGAGTCCGCTGTTTTCAGCACTAAGGAACTCTCTGAAAGCCAACCGCGCTGCTTCTGGCCAGACCTGAGGACATTTCTCTCCACAGGCATTTTTACCTTTATTTTTTGTATGCCTGGGACTCAAATGAAGCACCAGCTGGATGAGGCAGGGCTGGCCATCCAACAAGCACCTGTCACCCCTTTACCTGTTTGCAAGACCACAGTTCTCTCTTCTCCATCCAGAGCCACAATCCTGAAGTTATAGACGGTTCCCGCTTGTAAATCCTTGGGGTTACATTCATAGGTGGTGTTGTCTATCCTCACGGGGTGGCACCTCGTGAACCCCGATGTGTCATTGCTGTAGATGAGGCTGAAGTTACAGGGCGGCCCCAGAGTTCTCCACTGGAGAGACGCGGCCCGGCTGGAGACCCTGGACTCGGTCACGGTGAAGTTACACCTCGCCGGCTCCCCCAGTCCGGTCTGCAAAGGAACCAGAGACAGCAGCTGAAGCCCGCAGCCTGGGCTGCCCAGGAGCAGCTCCACCGCGAGCTCCCCGCGACGCCACTCAACCCTCCCCCCAGTCTCAGCGCATCCCGGGGCGCACCCCGGGGGGAGGTGGGTGGCAACGTCTCCCTGGGGCTCCTTCCCCAGAGCAGCAGGAGAAAAAAGTGGCTTTTTTGCCTTGGACAGTCTGGCTGGAGGCTCAGAGGAGGATCTTTCTTCCCAGGGGAGATAAAGAAATCCAGCCCCCTCCCTCCCCAAAACATAAGCGAGGAGACCAGAAAGTGGGGTGCGTGGGAGTTGGGTCCTGCGGGGCGGGCCTGGCGCGCGTCGGCCCGCGACCTCCCCGTCCACTCACCTGCAGCAGGCTCAGCGCGGTGCACAGCGCCAGCCCGGCTCCCTGGCTCAGCATCGCGCTCGGCGGCCAGGGCTTCCCTCCCTGGCTCCGCCGAGGGGCTGCGGTGCCCGGTGGCCCCGACGGCCGCGCTGGGGGCC